GGTTGTGTTAGGATGGTGGATTAAGAGTGATCATGAGAAATTCATATATAAGCTCACTCCAGCCTGTACAACAGTTACATGCTTTTTTCAAATTAGAATTGCTCCATAATTTCTTACAGCACACCATACACCTTCTGTGTTGTGATTTATTCTATGAAATGAACATGCTGTGTCTTCAAAGCAACTTACAAGTTTCCTTATGCCGGCTGGTATCCCCAGTGCCTTTGAGAAGTTCAAAACATTTGCCTGAAAAGAGAAATGCATTGGAGCTGCCACCTTGTGGCTCTGTGTGTTATGTCATTCGTCCTCAGAAACCAAACGCTTTTTTATGTTACTTTTTAAATATTCTGACAATGTGCAGATATGGCTTTTCTTCCCACAGCTTTTCTTTGAATTATTTCAAATTCCCTAGGGCATTTGTTATTCCCTAGTGCTTTTATCAGCGAGGCACAGCTTGCAATCAAGCCAGAACACAGAGTACCTATCTCCCACAATATATACATGAAAATGTGTGTGTGTTCATTATCCATTGGAAAACTAAAATAACCTTAGGTTTAAATCAGCACACTTGCTAAGTAACTTACTATTCATAATATAAAAATACATATTCCCAATTGGAATAGTATTTTTCTGTGTTTACATTTCTAATCTGATGTCACATGGTGCAGGAAGTTTCTAAACTCCTGCAGCCTGCAATCACCCATTCCCCTCATTTGCTATCAGCTCTGTGACACTGGCCACGCCGCATAATCCCCATTGTACATCACTTTCCTAATCCATAAGATGTCAATGAACTTGACAGAACACAGGTACATTGATGATAAGACTACAGTTTCCAGGACAGTACTCAACACACAGGCGGATCTGTAACTCCGAAATCTTATTCTAGGGAACCAACATTATAACTCGTGAGCCCAATAGGCTTTTCTGTCTGAAACTGTCATGGATCTCACCTGTGAGCCCTGCTGCTACCCCAGCTTCCATGCTACTTCCTTCTACCAGCATGCCTTGCTCCTAGCAGCCACGAAGGGCCATTCTTTGCTAGAGATGGGGTTCTTCAAACAGGAGAGCAGCAGGGAGGCCACCAATGTTGTTGCAGTTCACCGTAAGCTTACTGGTTGCTCATTCATTGTGGTGTAATCAGACTTTACATTGGACCACCAGCTCACAAATAATGAGACAGAGACTTATTATTTATGAAGCTCGGCCTTAGCTTAGGCTTGACCCACAATCTCTTACAACTTAATTTAACCAATATTTTTATTAATCTATGTCCTATCATGTGCCTCCAACCTCTCCCATTTTGTGTACCCGACTCATTCCATATCTCCATGGCATCTCAATTAGCTCCTCCTACTTCCTCTCTCTGCCCAGAAGTCCCACCCATACCTCCTGCCTAGCTATTGGTCATTCAGCTCTTTATTAAACCAGTCACAGCAGTGTATCTCACAGTGTACAAACATCCCACAACATTGTGGTTTATGTTTTGTTGTTGCTGCTGCAATTGCACTATTTTTTATTATAAAGCAGACAGGTGAGGAAAAGGGTATTAGTCCACCTGCTTCTCAGCCTGGCCTCACCCAGAAACCCCAAGGTTTCAAGCCACAGCAGTATAGAATCCTCGCTATCTCACTCCTGAAGGTGAGTGTAGGTTATACAAAGGAGAGAACTATTTGGTGACCAGAGGGTAGGTTAATGGATTTGGGGGGGGGGGGTTCCAAAATACTTTATTTTCTTTTTAATACCAACAACATGGTATTAAACACACACACACACACACACACAGAGGACTTAAGTGCTGCCACATGGCTGGTTTGGAAAGTGAACAAAAGTGATTGATGTGTGTAAGCATTGTGTTTCAGTCCATGATTCACCCTAATTGAAGGTAGAATGTTTTCCTGGTCCCGAGTGGTTATAAAACCCTCAACAGTGAACAAGACCCTACACTAGCCATGATGGGCACCCAATTTTAATGAAAACTAACTCTAGTGCGATACACTGCAATTTTCCCAGCTGTCATTGGAACCTGGGGACATACCCTGTTTCCCCGTTCTTGCCCCTACAGTAGCCCAGAGGAACCTTTTCCTTTAGCTCCCCAATGGTGACAATACAATAGAGAGGGAGGACTGCCACCAAGAACTAGGAGCAACAGCCTGGCTAACCCAAGGTAAACCCCTTACTAGTTAGGAGGCAAAGGCAGTATTTAGCGTCTCCAGTTACTGTGCTATGTCAGAACTACTGGCTCCCCACCTTAACACTTCTGATAACCCATTGTGCTCTGGGGTTTATGAATGAGGAACATGGCCAGAGTCCAAGACTGGCTCATCTCTGGCATCACACCAAGGACACAGACGGAAATATCAGACTAGTAGCTGGAATCTCCCAGTGGCTCACACCCATCCACTCACCCACCCACCCACCCACCCACTCACCCACCCACTAACCCACTCACTCACCCACTCACCCACCCACTCACCCACTCACTCACCCACTCACCCACCCACCCACCCACCCACTCACCCACTCACCCACCCACCCACCCACCCACTCACCCACTCACCCACCCACTAACCCACTCACTCACCCACTCACCCACCCACTAACCCACTCACCCACTCACCCACCCACTAACCCACTCACCCACCCACTCACCCACCCACTCACTCACTCAATCACTCACAAGCATGGTCATAGTTGTTCATTGTTGAATGAGTGGTACTGGAGAGGTCAACTCTCACAAATGACCTGTCTCTATGTATGGGGCTTCCTTCCACATTAAAAACGGGTGACACCAAATCACTAAAGTCTCCCAGCATCACTTTACTTCCACTACGTTCCGTTAGCCAGCATGAGTATAAACTCCTACCTGGCTCAAGGGTGAGGACATTTCACAGAGTAGCAAGATTTGGGTATGGCAGGGCGGAGGTAGACCAGGAACACTGCTACAGCCACTTTTAGAATGTAAAACCTGCCAAGCTCGCAGTTGCAACAAGGTACTTAGGACAGGGGCAGAGTGTCACTGGGTAGCATTGCTTTCCACCTGTGTGTGGACAAACTCCCCAAGGTTGGCATCGATGTCACCTCCCAGACAGATTCTGAACCATATAGGCCCCCTCCAAGGCTCCAGACCAAGCTAAAACAAACAAAAAGGTATTAAATAGCAAGCTGACACTGTGGTCACAGCCAGAATGTCACACAAACTTCTTTAAAAAGTGGGTTGGCTAGCCTATCAAGTTCAGGGTTAGCTCTTTATATTACCCATGTACTAGGAGCTTGGGAACTCTACCTCCACGCGTACAATGGTACCTTTCCAGTGAAAGATATGCAAGAACATGCAGGCCATTGTTTAAAGGCTAAGAGAGAAAGGCTAAGTCAAAGTAAAGCAAAGCTCTGCCGAGCAAGTTGTAGAGAGGTGTCCATGAGACCAAAGAGGAAGGTGTCAATTGGCAATGCTTAGTTATAAAGGTGCCTGAAAGGACTGACTGCCTGTTAGCAGACCTGTGTGAACAGGATCCATCGGGATGGTCTAGAAAACTGTGCTTAGTGTGTAAGCTGGTGGGTCACATACATGCTACCAAACCTAGTGGAACTTTCTTCAACTTCCTTTGAAGTTGTTAACTACATGAACATGTATAATTTGAAAATTATCTGTAGCCATTATGGGCAACCTTGCTTGTTATGGTTTGGGTATGAAGTCTGCCCCATGGGCTCATGGGTCAAAGGCTTAGTCTCCAGTTAGTGCATGCAATCACTGTCAAGTGACTAGATCAGGAAGGTTGTGACTAATCAACGAATACATCCATTCATGGATTCATTGACTGGAATGGCAATTACTGTGATGATAAGAACTTTTGAAGGTAAGGCCTGGTGGGTCACTGGAGATGTCCTCAGGGGCTGTCTTTAAACCCCTTCCTCTCGCTTTCCCACTGCCATGAGGTGAACAGCTGAGTTCCTGTGGGTTCTTCTGCCCTGATCTTCTGCCTCAATGCTGGCAGAGAAATGCTGTAGCAAACAACCATAGCAAATCAACCATGAGCCATAAATAAGCTCTCAAACTATGAACCAAAGTACACCTTTCTTGGGCATTTGGCAGAGGGCCAAAAGGCTCACTCTCTCTAGCACAAGTTTGATGCTATGAGGTTGGCTTAACTCTCTCCATGAGTGTCAGAGTTCTTCCTGGGATCCGAGTGCAACATATCCTAGTCACTAAAGTTAAAATCTGAAGCTTATCCCACACCCTCAAAACTGGCAACGAGCTTTATGACACTCTTTAATATTGCCATGTCAACTGTGACAACCCAGGTCACAGATCCCAATCCAAAGTATTTGCAATGCCATGTAGCTGGGATGGGCAAACTTTAGCAGGAAACAGGTACAGTGCCAAATCAAGCTAAGTTTAAATACATAAATATCTATAAATACAAGATAACCTAATGCTTAATAGGTTACCCTACAGTAAGGCTTCATCTTCAGTTTCATAAACACATTTATACATGGTAAGTCAGGGCCTACAGCTGGCCTCACTAACTTTTCCCATCAAGCAGTCCTTTGTTTGAGACTTCCTCACCATGTAGCACAGGCTGGCCTTGAACTCCTAATCCTGCTGCAGTCTCCCCAGTGCTCAGAGAATCATGTACCAAAATATCTGATACTATCAGGAATTCTTTCACAAACATCCCTTTTCAAACGTTTTGAACAGCTAAATTCATCTGCCTTATGTATCTCACCAGGCTATCCTGAGGCACTCAAGGAGTGTGCAAATGAGTAGCTTCTGTTTCTAAGTGGTATTTCGTATGTCACCAATCACACTTGTGAGAAATGTGTAGCTTGGACAATTCCTCTTGAATAAGCATCAATAAACAATGGCCCAGGGTCCATACCTGGCCCACCATCTGTTCTTATAAATGAAGCTTTAAGAGGAAAAAGCTGTGTGAAGTTGTTTCAAAACACCCAGTGTTATGTGTCAAGAGTTAACAGTTCCATAGAGACCCACGAAAGTCTAACTTTGCATCTGACTCTATATTTGAAAAGTTTATTCCCAATTCCATAAGTCTTCACAGGGGATATTAACACAATATAAGAAAGCAAAACCTGAATTCCTGTCCTACAACGCAGAACTATCATGGATTCCCACAAAGGACACCCATCCCTGGCTGCCTAGCCAGCTGTTAGGAACATAGTCAGAACTGAGATGTGAAGATCACATGCTCTCCCTTGCAGCTTAGCTCATTGTCATCCACATGGTGGTAACAGCAAATGCCGCTCTGTCTCTGGTTGCCTCTAACAAGGCTGCATCCACCACCAGAAGTCATTTTAGATGTAATATTTTTATTTCTTTCCATGCCTATGTTAGCCTGAGTGGTTGATGGTTGATTTGCATTACTTCTGTGTTTGTCTCGATGTCTACTCCTTCAGAGTGAGAAGAAACACTTAACTTTTACACTAGAGTTTAGAGAGCATCTAAGCTTTGGCAGCTGACTTATAATGGGTGAGAGTACGGGCAGAAGGGTCGGTGGCGTTGATCCACTTGGGCATCCAATAATGGGTCAGCCAATCAGCCCGGCCTGGGTAATGGTGTTCAAAGATCTGGCGGTAGAAATAGCCTTCTTTAGTTTTGGGAGTATTGAAGGGAAACTTCTGGGCTGCCGTTGCCATCATTGCGTCGTCAACCTATAAGATAGATTCAGAACATCACATTTTTATTTGGATTTGCTCTAATACAGACCAAACTAAAGTTAAGACATACTATAAATTAACAAGACACTTTAAGTTTCTAATTATTTACAAAAATTCTGAAATAAGCTATAGTAAACAGATGTAGTAGTATCTTATAAATCCTCATGCTTATTCCATATTTGGGTGTTCAACGTATGATTTATTTGTACCCAGGGTACTCAGACATATGGAAAAGGGTCAGTGATGATTACTAATGTCCCCTTTACTTTTGAGCACCAATACTGCTTCATTTTCTGTAATTGTTATATAATACTTATAAAAGAAGTGCTCTTTGTAGGAGCTGTAAATCTCCTATAGACACTATTTATGGTATTGGCACAAAAATAGACAGGTAGACCAATGGAATAGAATTGAAAACCCTGATATTAACCCTGATCTTTGACAAAGAAGCTAAAAATATACAATGGAATAAAGAAAGCATCTTCAACAAATGGTGCTGTCATAACTGGAGGCTGGCATGTAGAAGAATGCGGATAGAACCACGTTTATCGCCAGGCACAAAACTTAAGTCCAAATGGATCAAAGACCTCAACATAAATCCAGCCACACTGAACCTCTTAGAAGAGAAAGTGGGTGGTACCCTTGAAGGAATTGGTACAGGAGACAGCTTCCTGAACATAACACCACTAGCACAGACAGTCAGATCAACAATTAATAAATGGGAGCTCCTGAAACTGAGAAGCTTCTGTAAGGCAAAGGACACAGTCAGCAAGACAAAAAGGCAGCCCACAGAATGGGAAAAAATATTCACTAACCCCACATCTGACAGAGGGCTGATCTCCAAAATTTACAAAGAACTCAAGAAGCAAGTCTCCAAAACACCAAAGGATCCAATTAAAAAGTGGGCTGCAGAACTAAATAGAGAATTTTCAATAGAGGAGTCTAAAATGGTTGAGAGGCACTTGAGAAAGTGCTCAACATCCTTAGCCATCTGGGAAATGCAAATCAAAACAACTCTGAGATACCATCTCACTCCTGTCAGAATGGCTAAAATAAAAAACACGAACGACAATTTATGCTGGAGAGGATGTGGTGAAAGGGGAACACTCCTCCATTGCTGGTGGGAGTGCCAACTGGTTCAACCATTTTGGAAATCAGTATGGAGATTCCTCAGAAAAATGGGAATAAAACCCAGCAACTCCACTCTCAGGCATATATCCAAAAGATGCCCATTCATACAACAAGGATGTCTGTTCCACTATGTTCATAGCAGCATTATTTATAATAGCCAGAACTTGGAAGCAAGATGCTCCTCAACCAAAGAGTGGATAGAGAAAATGTGGTACATTTACACAATGGAGTACTATTCAGCAGAAAAAAACAATGGAATCCTGAGATTTGCAGGCAAATGGATGACACTAGAAAAAACCATCCTGAGCGAGGTAACACAGTCACAAAAAGAGAAACATGGCATGTACTCTCTCATATATGGATTTTAGACATAGATCTGGGGAGTGCCAGCCTACAATCCTATGGCCAGAGAGTCTGGGAAACAGAACCTTCATTCAGTGGCTGATGGAAGCAGAGGCAGACTCCCACGGCTAAGCACTGAGCTGAACTCAAGAAAGCCAGAAACAGAGAGGGACCAAAGGGATTAAGACTGGGCTGGTTTAACCCCAGAAACAGCTGACCTGACAAGGGTTAACTCTTGAATCCCAGGCTGATGCCTGGGAATCCAGCATGGGACTGATCAAGACCCCCTGAATGTGGGTGTCAGTGAGGAGGCCTAGGTAATCTATTGAGCCTTGGGCAGTAGATCAGTATTCATCCCAAGTATACGCATGGAATTTGGACTCCCATCCAACAATGTGAGATGCACTCTCACCCTGAACTCCTGGGGGAGGGTCTAGGCCCTGCCTTGGATGAAATGACAGACTATGGACACCCCCATGGAGGGCCTCACCCTCCCTGGGGAAATGAGGGGATAATGGGAGGGGTGGGGTGGGGGGGAGGGGAAGGGAGAGGAACCTGGAACTGACTGTGAAGCAACCTTGTTTCTAATCTAAATTTAAACTTATAAATAAATAAATAAATTAGACACTATTTAAACTAAATACAAAACAGAGATCCCAGGTCTCTGCTACACTACATTGTTCTAGAAAATCTCTTTAAAGACACACCTGGTGTTCAACATAATCCTGTAGAATCTTGAACCAGGAGTTCTTAACTGAGGTGATCCCATCACTGAAGGCTTCTTTTGGTCTCCAGAGGATCTCTTTGGGGAGCAGGTTGGAGTCCTCAAACGTCTCTCGCAGGAGATGTTTTTCTATCCCATTCTGACATGAACACGAAAGGAGCGTCAGTGAAGTCATCAGCAGAGTCAATGGCATTTGGGGTTCTTATCCAGGGTCAATTTACCTACTTTTGGAACTCTCATTTCTGGTGGCAGGGACAAATAATAGGAGGAAAACCGATGATCCAGAAACGGGACTCTCAGCTCAAGACTTGGAGAAAACAGAAGACAATCTCAACCAGAAGGCTGGCCAGCAGCTGCCATGTGTCCTGGCAGCTGCACCAGACTGGGCCATGCAGATTGTAGAGCCATGTTTCAGCCTCCTAATAGCCCATCTGCACGCCTGGATACATACTAAAGTTTGTACTCAAAATAAAACCAGCATCTAGGGAGGGAAGCTTCCTGTCTGAAACTATCTCTTTCCTTCTGTGCCTATGAAAAATTAACTGCTTCTCTAAGAGCAGAAGAGTCAGGAATCGTGAGGGGCGAATGCCACATCTTGTGTAGAGAGTCCTAGTGACTCTGGTCAGGCTGTGCAGACAGGTAAAACCTATGGTTGCAACCCATTCAACTAAATACAATTCAGGTGTGTATCGTGCACAATAAGGGTCTCCTATTCTTCAGCAAGCCCGGTTAAATGAGAAAACTCTAGCCAAGAAGAAATGGCACCAAAGAAACATTTTTAGTAAACAATCTCATGCATCTTCATTCCCTGTCGCCTCAGAACATTCTAAAATGTTTAGAAATAGCAGCTGCTGCCTTCCCTCTAGATCACATATGGCACAATACTGTTATGATTTAATGACACAAAACCTGCCTGACATAGCTCAGAAGATGCTCTCTCCCCTCTCAGTGATAAGATCATCTCTCCCCACCCCAGTGATAGTATCCAGGCCCATAGCCCGGCTCTTTGGGGATAGGTTTAGCTAGAAGTCAATCTTTACAGTCAACTGCAAAGAAACAAAACAGTAAGCAGCTGATCCCATTGAGTTTTTCCCCTCTCCCCTCTTTCTTTTCCAACTGAGTGTAAAGTTACCCGTGGGCAGCAGTAGTGCGGTCGGCGCGGAGAACATCAAACAGGTAGAGTTCCTTCAGCAGCCTCTCACTCTCCTCCTCTGCCTTCTCGGGAGAAGGGGCCTATTTAGTAGACCAAGAGGTGAGTGGCTTTGCTTTGGCACACAGGCAGCCTTTCTTTCCCTTTTACATTTAAAACGAGAGATGAGGAAGACAGAAAATGTCAAAGTAAAGGGTAGGAGTAAATGACTTCAGAAGCCAGCAACGTTTTAGAAGACAGACCCATCCACCCTCCAAAGTGCTTAGTGTGGAAATAAGTAAGATGGATGCCAGGGGCATTAAAAAAACAAAAACAGCTGGGCCTGGTGGTGCATGCCTTTAATCCCAGAGCTTGAGAAGCACAGGCAAGTGGATCTCAGTGAGTTTGAGGCTAGCGTGGTCTACATATTGAGTTTCTTGTTTTGTTTTGTTTTTCGAGACAGGGTTTCTCTGAGTAGCCCTAGCTACACAGTCCTAGAACTACCATCATACTGAGTTTTAGGATAGCCAGAGCTATGCAGTCAGCACCTGCATCATGATGATAATGGACTGAACCCCCTGAAAACGTAAGCCACCCCAAGTGTCCAAAGAAAGTTCATTTCTTAAAAATTAAAAGACTGTCAATCCTGCAAAAATACAATAAATAAAAATAAAAGCAATTCTTGTGTTTAATTTTAAGAATGAAAAGTATCTGATACTATTGAAAATTAGACACCATCAGTTCAGACAGACAGACAGACACAGACACACACACAAAGACAGAGAAAACAGTCAAGTGATTCCAACTTTTCTTAACTGAGCTGGAAATCGTTTCACTCCAGAGTGCTCACCTTGTGGAAATATATGTAGCCCTGTGTAAGTTCATCTGACCCTTCTCCTGAGAAGATCACCACGCTGTCTGTGTTCTTCCGAATATACTTGGAAATTAGATACATACCTTAATGAAAGAGAAATTAACATTGATGTCAGTGTGTCTTCTAAAAAGCCTTTAACTGGGCTTTCAGAAACAACTACAGGCTGGAATGTCTACTTTGAGTTAATATAAGCAGCTTGCAAAAAGATCACAGATATACTTAGAAGCTATCTACATGTAGGCAACCCTACGTAGGCAAGAAAATAGCATAGAAACCACTGTAGTGTCTTATAAATACATTCCAAACTTATGTTCCTGAAGCAAGACTTTCTACCTCAAAATTGTGCCAAACTGAACCACTCTACTACCTAAATACCATGGTTTCATACTAATTACTACAGAAGAGTAACAGCTTGGATAGTGCAAGATTTTGGATGCAATTTGTTCTCCCAAGAACTCATGTTGGAAGTGTGGGAAGTGTGGTCCACAGTCGGGGGAGAAGTGATGGGTAAGGTCTGCTTGGGGTTACTTGGGTGCTCAAGAATCTTTCCTTAGAAGGCATTAAAGCAATTCTCAGAGGAAACCAAATTAGTTCTCCTGAGTCACTTGTTTAAAACAGAGCCCTTCTCTATTCTTGGCCTCTGGTCTCACTACAAAATCTCTCTCTCATGTGTAGATCTTTGATGTCACCCCCAAGTGCCATGCTGTTGGACTTTCAGCCCACAAAATTCTGAGTTAAAAAAAAAACAACAACAAAAAACTCATTGTTAAAAAGTTAGTCACCTGGGGATGTCCATTACAGTAACAGGAAAATGAACTAACAGAACAACTTAGTTTTAATCTTTTCCATTATGACTCCTCACTTCCAAACTCCACAACTGATTTTGAGGTTCTGCATGGTATTGAAACAGCATGCTGTCTTGACACCCGTTCTACATCTCTCTACACTTCCATCTCCCCCAATCCCATTCTTATCCTTCTTTAGAGAGACTTTTTTCTTCCTAACTCTGCTTCTGCCGCATGAAAATTCAGTCACAGCCATGTTATAAATGTGCTTACTTAACTATGGTTCAGAAGGCCAAATCATTGTTAATACTCAAGGTTTTTGATTGTACTCCAAAGTGAGTTTTAAAAGAAAGCTACTCAGCTATTAGCATTTTAAGGGCTCAACAACCTTGGGTCTATCTGACTTGTGGTTCACTTCTAATCTCAGAATGTGTTCACCAGCTATAACTAGTATTGACTGCATGACTTGCTCTAAGTAATAATGTAAATAATAACTAGGAATGGGTAAGCTGTGTGATGGAGTATTACAATATATCTACATAAGAACTCCTTAAGGAAAATGTATTATAGTATTAGATCTATTTCCCCATTTTATAAAGAACACTGTTCCCAGATGGACAGTGGTGGTACACACTTTTAATCCCAGTACTTGGGAGGCAGAGGCAGGTGAGTTTTGGTGAGTTTGTGGTTAGCTTGGCCTACAGAGTGAGTTCTAGGACAGTCAAGGCTACACAGAGAAACTTTCTTGAAAAAAATCAAAACAAACAAAAAAAGAACAGTTCTCCTTCAATATTCATTTGGGATGGATTCTGAGACCTCCCTTCAGCTACCCAAATCTTCAGATACCTCAACTTCTTAATATATGATAGCATTTGCACATAACCTATACACATATACGGGCATATCCTATTTTACTCTGTTTGGCTTTTGATTGTAATTGGTTCCCATAAGCACATAGGTAGTGGCACTATTAGGAGGTGTGGCCTTGTTGAAATAAGTGTAGGCTTATTGGAGGAAGTGTGTCACTGTGGAGGTGGGCTCTGAGGTCTCTTGCTTAAGCTTCTTTACTCAGTGTGACTCCGACCATGTCTGCCTGCAATCTACCATGTCCCACCATGATGATAATGGACTGAACCCCTGAAAATGTAAGCTACCCCAAGTGCTCAGAGGAAGTTCATTTCTTATAAATTAAAAGACTGTCAATCTTGCAAAAAAATAGACTGTATCATTTTCCCACAGCTTAGAACATCAATGGCAGTAAGATGTTCCTAAATCAAGGTACTTAGTATTGTGGCTCAACTATATCATCCAAGATGCTTTACACAGAGAAAATGGAAAGGGAGCCAAAATATATATCCATTCTATAGTGACGCCATAAATGCCAGATGTGCAGCAGTCCACCTGCTCAGTCTCTTGGGAGCTGAACCACCCACCAGGTGTGAGTCACAACACTGGCTAGAATGGGGGGGCTTTGAGGTAACCATAAGTAGTTCATGTCAAGTGGAGCAAACAGAACCCAGCATGTACTATGTGCTTAGTAAACGAGAGTTGTTACTTATTTTTATGAAGCAATCTTTAAGACTGTAGGACGAGCTGACCTTGTAAATTCCATGTTCAGAAGATATGGTGATACTCATTAAAAGCACTTCCTCCAGTTGAAAAGAAATTCAGGACACTCTTAAACAGTCTTAAAAATATCATATTAATATCTATATAGAAATTTTGCTTGTATTCATATTTAGACAATCATTCTTAAACTGAAATCACCTTAAACCTTCTCACTGTTCAATATTAAAACTCTTCACAACAACAAAATCCCTTACCTACAGATGCTCGAACTGTCGTAATGTCATAAGTTTCCAAGGAAAATATGACTTCATCCAGGGCCTGAATGCCTTCTTCAGAATTAAAAAGGACTTCATGATGCTCGCTTCCAATATAATTTGCCACCTGATTGTGAAGAAAACTCCATAATGTTAGTTAAAGAGCTACTTTTGAAAGCGAATCAGGCCAGCTCCCCTCAAGGCATCCTGAATTAGCAAAGCTAAAGACTCAGGGTCTCTCCACAACACTATGGCAGGAGGCAGGGCAGGCAACCACAAGCTAGCTAAAGCTTGCTGGGTGCCTCTGCCTGGCCCTCATCCCCATTCAGCCACAGGGAGTAAATCTACCAGCTCTTTCCAAATCAAAGCTAGAGCCTGACGGTGCAAGTTCCAATCAGTGCACCACTCTCTCCTACTTTACCTAGCCTACCCCATTTCTCTGTGGCCCAACATGGTTCTCTTTTAAGCAGTGTTTGCTGGGATGAAATGCCTGATTTTATATCCAGCATGTTGGTCCTACACAAACAGCCTTCTGCTTCCCTTGTCTGTCTTCCAGAACATGCCTATGTGTTGGGATTCTTCCCTGGACCTTTCTCAGCCACTCTAGGTCTTTTTAGAACAGAGAGGTGTGTGTACAAGGTCTGTTCTGCCTGCGATTCTTAATACCATGATGCTTCATAAAAAGTAAAATTACAGCTCACTTTCACTAAAGTGATTACTACACACCAGGTTCTACATCACACACTCCATATGAATACATATTTTAACTTAAAAACTAATCCACTGTAAGCTGTATGTGGAGGCTCATGCCTGTGATCCCACAAGATGGGGAAATCCCACTTGGGAGGTTGAAGCCCAGTGGTTGCTATGAGCTTATGGCCAGCCTGGATCATACAGTGAGTTCCAGCCCAGACTAAACTCAATATAAGACCCTGCCTCAAACTCAAATACACACACACACACACACACACACACACACACACACACAATCTCATCAAACTACTGTAAATACTGTTGTATAACAGTGAAGCCTTGCACAGTAGAATTAGGACTTGAAAGCGTTAAGCAGACTTCAAAGCCTGCAGTGTTAAAACTGACCACACCACTCTCAGAAGAAAACTATAATCACTGAGTCTTTGTCAAGACTGTTTGGGACACTGTGGATAAGAGTACCCAGTGAGTTGGGCGGTGGTGACTCACACCTTTAATCCTAGCATTCAGAAGGCAGAGGTAGGTGGATCTTTGACTTAAAGCTAGCCTGGTCTACAAAACAAGTTCCAGTATAGCCAGAGAAACCCAGTCTTAAAAAAATCAAGTACCCAGTAGATAAAAGTCTAGCACTTCTGTTCTATTGTAGATAATTACCAGGGTCAGCAGCAGAAACAGAAGCAACACTGTCTTCAACACTACTGTTTTGTTTAAGTGCTGTTGGTCTTACCACAACTGACACTTCAGCCTCAGCTTCACCAGAACCACAGACCCTCATTTCAAAGCAGCATAAAAACTCCCTCTAAAACTTCACATGCCAGGCCCCACCACATGCACAGCTCTCAGCGTTTTCTCCCAAGTTTCCACATTAACTCAGTGAACTCTGAACACTCCAACCCAAAGCTCTAAAGTCTTTCCACCATCTTCCCAGAAAACACTTGGCTCCATCAGTCACAGCAATAGACCACAATCCCGGTACCAATTTCTACCCCGGATTGTTCTCTGTGGCTGTGATGAAGACCGTGACCAAAATCAACTTGGGGAGGGAAGAGTTTATTTGGTTTACATATTCTGAATCAGTCCATTAGCAAGGCAAGAACTCAAGGTTCGGGAACTAAAGCTAAGAATCTGGAGCCAAGAGGAGTAAGCAGTGCTCTTCCACGGTCTCTGTTTCAGTTTCTACTGCTGGTTTCGGCCTCACACCCCCACCTTGGATTCCCTCAGTGGACTGTGACAAGGAGTCTGTAAACCAAATAAGCCCTTTCCTCATGGCCAAACTTGATTTTGAGTCGAATAAGGAGACTAAGTTCTAAATATGCAGTGGACAGGTTGCAATGTACCTTTCTAGCAGCCAGTAGATCGGGGCTGTCTTCCATGCCAATCGCAAATGTCTGGAGTGGATACTGTACTTGAGCCTCCTTGAGTTGCTTCAGCAAGGAGGAGGCAACCAAGCTCGAGTCCAGGCCCCCTGCAGCGCGAGAACAAGCCCGATGGTTATATGCCTTCACTAGACAGGGCAAAGGCGATTGCACACCCTCTAAACATCTGGATTGAAGTTTGACTTTTAAGATCTCCAAGTTTTATAAACTGAAATCAAGTTTAGTAAATAAAGAATACAATGCATAAATTTTACTGGCCCCTACAATGGTAACTATATCTAAAGTGGTTTAAAAAAATCAGTACACAGGATTATAGGGAATGTGTACCAGCCAGCTATTACACTAACAAATATAGCCTATAAGCACATCTATAATAAAGGCCAGGGCCAGCTGGTATTTGATTAAATCCCAGCCAGATGGCATGTTTCTTTAAATTGACATCACCTGATAAAAGGCAGCCGATCCTCCTGTCCGTCATCAAGCGTTTCCTGACAGCATTGTCAAACAGGATACGAAGGTTGCTCTTCACCGTTTCTAACTCGAAGCCTATCAACACAGAAGGAAAATGAAGCAGCCCCAGAGAAACTGAGCTAGCTGAGGTAAGGCATGCAGTCCCCAGTACCACCGTGATGGCCGGCCGTCACCTGAGGAGATCCCACCACCTCCAAATCAAACAGCAAACAGATCTTAGAATCAACAATTCAGAAGTGTGAATGGCTCTTGTGCTTCCGGGGATAGGCGTGGGCAGCAGTCACCTGGGAAGAGTTTCTCCACGCTGTCGTAGAGGGCATGCAGGGGTTCATCCCGACAATGATGGTACTTCACCATTTCCACAGATGCAACTTTGCCGTTTGGTTTTAAATCCAAAACTTCATAGTGTCCAGGAAGGAAGGGCTCCACTTTTAAGAAGGGAGTTGTGGAGTGCTTCAAGGAAACGAGCCCTGCAGATGGAAAACAATAATGCATACAACTGAGTGCTTCTCTACAGACTTTCCAGTTGGCTAAATCCTCTAAGTGCTGCTTCTCCCTTTAAATACAAGTATATGTCCACTACACAAACAAACAGTGGGAGAGGAAGTAATTACCCAAAACCCTACATCTGTTTCCTGAAGAGGTCAGAGTAGCACGGAGACAGAGCACAAACTGCATGGACTTGAGTTATTTGATGCAATAGGAAAATGACTCTTGATTCCGCTTCAAGATCATTTCTGAATATAGCGTGAGATAAAGATTCCAGACTTCACCTTTTAACCCGTGTTTGTCCAATTGTTACATTTTCTCAGAAGATGCTCTCCCACACTGAATGGCCCTGCTACCTCTATTTAAATCTCCAGCATCTACCTCCTTCCCCTAGTGGAAATTTCAAATCAAGAAAACTTATTTTTTTAGATGCCTATAACATTTCTGAAGAATAAAACTTTGTAAAGGGAAAGTCGATTTTCTAGGTAGAAAACAAACAAGATATTTAAGTCTGAGAAAATAGAGAAATCAAAATGTTAACAAGTGGGCATCTGGTCTGTGGTCATGTAACAGTGGCCACACCCCTTTGGGTGTGGTTTCAGGCCTAGGAAGCTGAAAGAGAGGAACCTGAGGCTTGGCTTTCCTTTGGGCACTCCTTCTGGCAGGTCACCAGATCCAGTAGGGAGAGCAGGGAAACGCTCCAGTGGTTCTTTGTATTTTTCTGTGTAATTGTTGCACAATAAACACCCATTCATCCTTTATCTTGGGTCTAGTGATATAATTACATCCTCGCCTTCATTAGCATCATGATATTTTGCCAAGCATTTCTATCATCGTTGAGGCATTTTTTAAGAAAAGACCCATGGTTCCCACACCATTACCAAGCAAAATGACCCACTGCCAGGCACTCAGAAGCCGGTACCTCTCCCTTAGTAGCTGCCATATAATATGTGTGAGAAAACTATAACTTAAGTTTCTTCAAGCAGTTCTTACATATAGGCATTAGCTACCTTGACACCATGATCAGACTCAAAAGCCAATGTTTCACTGTAAGTAGTCAACACCCTATCCACACAGATACTTGCTATAATTTACTATGGGTTTCTTAACCCAGTCTGTATACACAGAACATAGAGGCCAAAGGAAGCCAGCGTTCTCATTAGCTGACAGAACTCAAATGCTGCCCTCTCCAGTAGAAGATGTGGGCCACTGATAGGTTAAGCAGAGAACTGTGCTGAGGTGTTTTAAAAGACCGATGAAGGAATGCAGCCCTACAAGTGACATCATTCGGTCTGTGTGGTGGTTCAAAAGAGAATGGCCCCTATAGGCTCATGTTTCAATACTTGGTCCCCAGTGGATAGAACTGTTTGAAAAGGATTAGGAGGTGTAGCCTTGCTAAGGTACATCACTAGAGGTGCCCTTTTAGGTTTCAAAAGCCCACATCATTCCCAGTTAGCTCTCTCTACCTCATGTTTATGGATAAAGATGTGAGCCCTCACCCACAGCCTGCCTGCCTGCCACCATGGTCCCCATGATGATGTCATAGACTCGAGCCCTCTGAATCTGTGAGCCCCAAATGAACTCTTGCACTGGTCATGGCACCTTATCACAGTAACAGAAAGGCAATTAAGACAGTCAGGAAAAGGACAGAGAATTAAGGATGCAGGAAACAATCCAACTCCAGAGAACAAACTACTGGTGAGATTACAGTTCCCTATCAAGGAACCATTAGGTCTAAGGGTCCAAAGGACAGCCATCAGAAGCAGGACAGTTTCCCTAACAGGACTTCAGGTAAGTGATGCATAATGCTTGTTGATAGACCAAGCAAAGCATCTTTAATACCCAAAGTATAGTTAGTGTGCTAAGAATTCTTTAACAGATCAGGATCCTTGTTTCAAGCAACATTAAATCTGAAAATTGAGTGGCAAAGGATACAAGAAATGGCAAAGATACATTATAGAAAACTTGCCACTAGTTGCCTCAAAAATTAAGATGGGACCAGGCATAGTGGTGCACACCTTTACTCCCAGTACTCAGGGGACAAAGGCAGGTGGATCTCTGTGAGTTCAAGGCCATCCTGATCTACACAGTGAGTTCCAGCACAGTCAGGGTTAAATAGTGATACCAAAAAAAAAAAAAAGGTGAAGAGTAATAGAAGAAGACATATAATGTCAGTCTCTGGCTTCTACATGTGCACATGCATTCAGGAGTGTGCGTGAGCATGCACGTACAAACACACACACACACACACACACACACACACACACACACACACACACGGAAAAGTAGGAGGGGTGACCAAGATTTCAAATCCTCTTCACACTGAGTATTCCATCTACTAGCCATTTGTAAACTTTTTGATTGACACCTATAGGATTTTCGGTATGATCCAGGAAGAAACAGAAACACAGAATAGTAAAACACCATTATTACCTTTAGCTTCTGAACATACAGCCAGAAATCCATCTTCTGTCATGGCTTTAAACAAGGGCCTGACTCCATAGGTATCTCTGCCCAGAAACACTTTCTTGTTGGCAGTGTCCAGCAAGATGAATGCAAACACCCCATCCAACATACAAATGGTTTGCTCGATACCTCCTTTGTCATAGAGATGCAGTATAATCTCACCATCCACATTGGTCTGATACTCGAACTCAAAGCGTTGTTGTAGCTTAAGGAAGCATAGCAAACGAAATGTTAGTATCCTATGCATCCACCAGTAATCCTGACTCAGTATTTTTACATGCTATAATCAGTCCATGTGCTTTGATTTTTTTTTAAAATGTGGCATTATCAAAATCTACCTTGTCTCAATTCATACTTCTATAAATTCTCCACCAAAAGGCTGAACACATAACAGTAAAGATTACATTTTGATAAACAGGATACATCAGAGGAGTGATACATGAAAGGATCCAAGTGTATTACACACCATGGTTCACACTATGTGGTTACTTGGTGTACCACAATGTACATTTACCTACGTAGTCATCCTTTGCTTCCAGGATCCAGTCCCAAAATAATAATCTACAGGTGTTTCAGTGCCTTTTATAAAATGGAATGCTATTTACATATAATCTACACACATCCTCCTATATACTTACATCATTTCTAGATGTAGAATACTTAATACAACATGCTTTAGAATATAATTGTTATGCAATATTATGCAAGATGTAAAAATGTGGACATGTTTAGTATAGACACAATTTTCTCCCAAACATTTTCTACGAATCTGTGTTCCAATCTTTGAAGGTAGAATACAAGAATATGGATAAGGACAGTCTAACAAACTAAGAGAACAGTTATCATGTCATTAAAAATGTGTCTTCAGCAACTGTTAACTTTTGGTTTGGGACACAGAATTAGCTGAGGTTTTTCTAGCTCATCCTCAAAGACCTCCCTTGAAAATGTAGCGGAAAAGGAAAAAAAAAAAACTAGTCACCACTCCTTCTGCCAAGTAAATGAGTCCATTACCAGCAACACAGTCCAAACCCACACTGCTAGTCCCCAGGGATGGGCAACATCCAGACCTTCCTGAGCAGTGGTGACATTAAAGTGACTTCTGAGGGACAGACAAAATGACTATGCACTTTATCATCAGTTCATATGTCCTACGAGAAGAGCAATGAGCCTTTCACTGTCACCTCCAGCAAAGTGAAGAGGTTTGAGTTGTACCCAGATTCTAAGACTTTCTACTATGCTAGCACCCCACCAACACTACAACAAAGCCCCATGTCCCCACTTCAGACTTGTACTGTGTTTTCAATTCATATGTATGACCTGTAAATATGCCTCAGGTCTCTCCATCCCAAACATGTGGTCCATTGGGTAAAGCATGCACAGAATTATCAAGACATGGGCTTTGGGTGCCTTTACAATACTACCATCTGGCCACTCTTCTTAACGAAGGGACTACCAGGGTAATCCTAACTCAATGAGGAGGGGTTTGAAATCCTATCCCCTGGCTGGAAACGCCCTACAGCGTTCACAAATAATTAGCATCTCCTCCATTCTCGTTTCCAAAGGTAATTTATTCAGAAAGGAGATGTTCATTAACTAGCAATTCCCAAGTACTAACTCTAACTCCTGGAATGGTGCTCCTTACACCAATATCCTGCCACCTTCCTAGAGTCACATTGACATGTGACTTGTTGTAGGGCCCCTGGTCTATCTTTGTAGTCTCCTGGACCAGCAAATGCTACTTTGTATTATTATCAAAACTTGGGGTGGAGTCAGAACTTTGATGCTATATTTCTGAAAATAGGCAAGATTAAACTTGCTCATTCTACTCTTAGACAAGTTTCTAGCTGTCTCGTTGGCACAGGTTTAGATGTTTGATAGAAACAGCAGAAAGTTTTTGGAAATATAGCATATACCTTTTAAGGTACTAACTTTTAACATCGTAACAAAATTAATGAGCAGCAATGCTGTCAAAATAAACCAGGTATTTCCTAACTTCAAACAAATCAAGATAGTTCCTGCCCCACTTCCGGGAGACACACGGCAATTCTGGCAGAGTACAACTTGGTGACCTGACTTAATGTGACCAAATCCATCCCACCTCACTCCCTTCCTCCACTCCTAACTTCCTTCTTCACCATTTCATCTCCAAGTACTTAGCTGGGTATACAGCAGGCCTTTAATAAAGGTGTATTTGCTAACTGGTCAACCCCTGCTTTGAAAGTGTTCCTACAAGCAAAGCAAAACGGCAAATAAAAACTTTTGTTCAGGAATGAGATTAGCCAACAGATAGCCAGGATAGAAAGCCTTCCAGTGAAGGAGAAGCACAGAAATTTCCAACTTTACCAAGAAGCATTATAACCAAATGACTAAAACTTGACGGAAATCTTCCCTTAAAAAAAAAAAATGTGTGCCGGTAAGCACACACACATCAAAAAAAAAAAAAAAAAAAAAAAAAAAGAAAGCAAAACAAAAATAAATATTGCTAGGGGACACTTGTGGAAAATTAAACATGAATTGGATATTAGATGTTATGTTGTCTTATGTTTACTATTAATGTTAGCTAAGAGAATGTCTTAATTCTTGAGAGAAAAATGGTTTCATAGTTTAGAGGAAAGGTATCAGAATGTGCAGACCTTAAGAGAGATAAAATAAATACAGGCAGATATTAATAATTATCAATTTTCATGCACATTTCTCTGGAGCAATTAAAGGTTGAAGGGGTTAACAAGCTTGCAAATATAGTAAGGAGTTATATTTGTGAACGCTCGTAAATTGCGGATTTAATTTTTTCCTTATGAAAAACTAGTCAAATAATCCCAGATTGGGAGGTTCTGATGGTGTCTGGCTTCCGGGATCAACAATTCTATCCCCTCACTCACTCCTGTTCTAAGGCACCAGAGAAGAAAGTTGTTCCAACTTTAACACTGCCAAGTCTTACTTAACACACTACTGCCTCCAGCCACCTTTCCACCATTTGGCTCCTACTAAGTGTGGAACTGCAATAAACTTCTCAGTGGCCACATTATATAATGCTACAAAGATCATCACCTTCCAAGTTTTCAGTTCTATCCGTCCTTTAAATCCTCAGCGGCTGCTGCCCTGGGAATGAGACACCAGATTCTAGCAAAACTGACTGCTGTGTCTTCCCGGCTCCACCTTCCCCCTCCCCACTCATTCTATTATCCCTGAGTGCTTCCCATTCCAGGGGTGTACACAAGCTACCCCTCTCCATGAGAAACGCTCTCCCCAGCCGTGCCTAGTGCTCTCTGTCATTAGGTCTCAGTGCAAGTCTCACTTCCTCAGGTGGCTGTCCTATTTAAGTTTCCTGCACACAGATCTCCCTTATGCATCACCACTGCATTTGCTCTTTGGGATCATTATACAGTGACTCTGTCTCCTAACAGAACAAGATTCATTGCAGCATAGAGCTAACCATCGTTTTCACTGTGATACCTGGTCACCTGACACAGATCGTGACACAGCCCTAATAAACATTAAAATTTGTAATGGGAAAAAAATGAATCAGCATCTCCTTTTAATCATGTTTTTAAAATCTAGGTCATTTTACCTTTCCGTGTCAATGTTCTATATAGCTACATGACCAGAGCAAACGAGGTAAAAACACAGAAAAAGGTTAGCAAAGCAAGGAGCATGACGCAGAATGTGAACATCATAACCACTACCTCTGAGGTAGTTATGGACAGCCATCTCCAGCCTCATTCTGCTTACCGCCTTGTGGTTGTAGATTTCCCCGTTGTAACAGAGCCACAGATAAGGGTATTTCTTCACTCTTATTGGCTGCATTCCAAAGAGGGGGTCAACCACGGCCAAGCGGTGAAATCCAAAGCAGCAGTTGGTGTATCCATTGACATTCTCAAAGCGAAATGCATCTGGCCCTCTGTGTGCAATCTTCATAGCACTCAGGCACTGCACGGAAAGGCAGTCATCGCTGCCGAAGAGGGCCCAAATGCCACACATGCTGCAGGAGAGCTTCAGGCACTCTGTGGAGAAAAGCACAGCGCATTCAGTAACCAGCCCTTTATCCCGGAAACGTACACAAGCCTCCCCAAAAGTTGGACACAAACGCCTCTATCTACAGCAGTTCTCCACTGGGTTGGCAGGCAAATGAGAATGACTTAATTTGCTTACAAATATTAAAAATACAGGTGAGCTATATCTTCAACCAGACATAAGCTTAGTATCCAGCCGAAGCCCACATCTCTCCCACCTTAGGATTTTGTGGGAGCTAGACTCAACAACAGCCAGATCACATTGTGTCCTGCAGCTCAGGATTGCTCCCAAGGTCGATGACTGGCTTGGCTGGCTCCAAGCTAGGAAGGGATCCCAATATCAGCATTCTCCAGTTGAGAATCTCAAAAAAAAAAAAAAAAACAAAGATGTGGGAGGCTCTCTGTGTTAGTACAGCCTCTTCCTGAGCCTCTACAATTAAATACCCTTGCCTTACCTGTACTTTGTGCAGGTCAAATATAAAGGGAATAAATAGCCGCTTATAAGCACTATTATGTAGTATGGATATATCTCATTAAGCATGTCATGACTTTTAGCTTAACATCTAAAGGATTTATCTAAATGTGATGAAGAATAAGAAAACAATAATCTGATAACAGATACCCTAACAAGCATTTTGAGCTGACTGAGGATATAAAATATTTGCTATGGCTAGGTACTCTGGTGCATCATCATGGGGGGGGTGGGAGTAGAAGCAGTGTGGATCAGGATTCAAGGCCATCCTGTGCTACATGAGATCTTGTCTCAACAACAGAAAAGTTCAGTATCAAAATGTCCTTGATGTCAAAAATATCCTCAGACACTGACCTGAAAGCCGCAATGGCTAGTGAGTAAAATAGATCCTTATAGGCCAGTAAGCAAGTAATTCCTACAAATGTCATTTGAATATCCCTAGCTCAAAATTGTTTAATAAAGAATCTCCAACTAGCAAATAATACTGTATCTGCTTAAAATGCACATCTGAAAGAAATGGCAATATAGTCTAGAACAAACACCCTAAAAACACACAGGCTCACATCAGCCACTCTGAACAGTCCTTCGAATTATTCCATCTGTATGGAAGGTTTGATGCACACTGAGCAAAACCACATCCAATGATTTAAAAAAACTGGTATCAAGCAAAGCAACTTGAAACAGTGTAAGTGGCATGCAGTTCCTTCCGCAGTGCTATCCAAATGGTCTACCGTGGGTCTGGTTTGAACATTCAGTGGGAGAATGCAGAGAGTTTGGAAGGGTGGCTGTTAATAAGCAGTGTTTGACCCAATGCCAATGGAAAGTGACTCAGCCACATAGCGTTAACCACGATGTCTCCATCAAATCCCTCCCATTGGAGCTCAGGGAACCCCGAGAGAGGAGGCAGAAGGAATATGGGAGACAAAGGGGATGGGGATGGAGAAAAGGTCCTCTAAAACAATTGAGCAATGCTCACATAAACTCAACAGAGACTGAAGCAGCATGCACAGTGCTTACGCAGGTCTACACCATGTCCTCTGCATGTGTTCTGTAGCTTTCGGTTTAGTACTTTTACAGAACTCTTGAATGTGTACACGAGTGGACCTCGATTATTACGCCTTTTCCTTGGGGCTGCTTTAATTTTCTGTTGGCTCGTGTTGTCCAACCTCAGTATGATGGTTTTCATTTTACCTTAATATATTTTATTATGTTTCGTTATCTCTTAGAAGCCAGCTCTTTTCTAATGAGAGATAGGAAGGGAGTGGATCCGGATGGGAGAGGAGGTGTGGAGGAACCAGAAGGAGGAGAAGGAAGGGAGACTGCACTCCAGTTACATTGTATGAGGAAAGAATCTATGTTTAATAAAGGGGGAAAGAAAGAAAAGTGGGTTGGTAACGCGCACTTCGAAAATCAGTTGTGATCATCAGAAAACCATTTACCTAGGTCTTATGGCTCTTCAATGAACTGTCTGTTATACAAAACATATGCTGGCCACTTATACGTGGAAATAAAAGTTCAAATACTTTCCTTTACTGGGAATAAGGAAATTTAAACTCTTTTTGTAATTGGAATCAGTCTTCTCTGCAGGGAGAGGCCCTCCTTGTACCTCATTTTCCTCACTGTTATCTGTCGCTGTGGTTTTCCACATTTCATGGTTAACTTCTATAGCAGTGTTGTCCAGAGGGAATGTGAACCATATGTGTGGTTTTAATATACTAATAAACTCCGTTAAAAAGGCAAAAGAAAGTACTGAAATAAATTTTAAATGTGCCTTAACGCGGCACACTCAAAACAAAATAATACAATATAATCAAAATTAATTTTATTTTACACCTAAATCATTAAAACCGGACTGGAGGAATAGTTCAGACGTTAAAGTCTAAGGGTCACAACCAAATCGATAGAATTTCGGTTTTCAAAACCATCCAAATTACACTTAGTAACGCAGCTCAGTTCAGACTAGCCAGTGTTTCTAGAGGTCAGTGCATGCAAGTGCATGGGTCTTGTGGCTCCCGGGCTGGACAGCGCCACTTCAGCGCACTGAACAGAAATTCTATTCTACTGGCGATCTACCTAAACTTCACCGGATCTCCTTATTTTAAAATCTCAATAATTAACCTGTGGACTTGTGCAAGTCTTACTTCTAATTAATATCACACCAAAACTGGGCTAATCAACGGAAAGAGTTAACTGTTAAGGGCTGTGGGCGACGGGTCAAGAAAAATAAAGCCTGTCCTTGTATTTAAAAGTTACATTAATCTGAAACCAGGCCTGTGAACAGCTGCCCATTATTAAGAAAAAGCATGCCTTTGCCTTTTTCTGTACTTGGCCGCCTGTCTCCTTAAACAGATCGTTCCTCAGCGAGGCTGCGTCTTGAAAGTACGGAGCTGGAGTGGGGGAGGGGGCCGGGCAGCAAGGTGAGTGGGGGCTCGAAAAGCGAGATCCAGACAGTTCACCCCCAGAGAGCCTCGCTCTAGAGCTAGGGAGAGCCTCGGTCCTTCGAGACAACCAGGCCCGAGAACTAGCCTGGGGCGTCCAACTGCGGCGGGTCCTGTGCAGGCTCCCAGCTGGTCCCATGCAAGGCCCTGGGATTGCCGAACTTTCCCAGGCTTGGACGTCAGACAGTTAAAAATAATAATAATAATAGCATTTATGGTGTCCTTATTAAAGCCACCGTTGTCTCCGGTCTGGAGCGGCCCAGCCTCCACGAAGCACTTCGCTCTTGTGAGAGCTTTCTTGGCCTTCTCCGTCCCAGGTGCGCAACAATCGCCCCGCGCCCGCCCCGCCCTGGCACCCGATGCACCGCAGCATCTGTCCCGCGCCGGCCGGTGTGTTTGGTCCCCGCGTGCCCCGGACCTGTGTGCCCGCGCGGACCGAGCATCCTCCGGCTTCCCGGGCTTGCACAGCGCACTGCACCGATCATCAGGGTCCCGCTTACCTGCGCAGCGAGTGGTTAGGGCCAGAGGAGGGGGAAGCTGAGGCGGCACAGCGATTACAGAAGGGGCGGAGGACTGCTTCTTACCTTATAGCAGCCGGGCTACTGTAACGCGTGCGGGAAGTTTCATCATGTCGCTGGGACCCAACCCCTGCGCAGGGGTGTGGCCCGCAGTGCTGACGTACGACGCCAGGCGGGGCTGAGGCGATCGCAAAGAGGCACCCCGGAGCCCAGAGCTAGGTGTGCGCTTCTGTTCTTTTAGGTGCTCAGAGGTCGGGCCCAGGGCCTCACTGGTTACCCCAGGTTACCTAGCTGGCCAATGAGAAGTCTCCGTACTTGGGATGCTTTAGGGAATTCATCATCAGTTGAGTACAGTGTCCCATCCTCCTATCAACTTATCAACAGTACATCTCCCCCTCCTTAATCGTAGTCTTCAATACTCCCTGACATAGTGTCTATTATATAGATGTGGAGGCATAAATACTTGATGAAATAATGAGACTGTAATGCAGATAGGAATAGCTGGAAGGACACACACACACACACACACACACACACACACACACACACGCTGATTCCTTATGCTCTACTTACAGGCAGGGTAGAAATCTTCCTCTGGATATACAGGGCTGACAAACATGAAATGTGGTTGTGTTCGGGTGTAGCCAGGTTTTGACCTTGCTTGTATTTATTTATGACTTCCCTCTTTGATTCCCCAGCTGAGTGAATACCACTGACGGGGTTCTAAACATATATAATTCAATTGAGTCATTGCTGTATTTAATTTTTGATTTATCACTTTTAGGAAAGCACTTGAATTTGTATTTGAATTTTACTATGACTTAGGATAGTATTGATGCACCTTACAACTGACTGTTATTCACGGGGGGGGGCTGGTTGTAGTTTTTCTTTGTCTTGTGGAGTTTATTGGACCATTATGTATGTATGTTTGCGTGTGTGCCTATGTATGTATGTATGTATGTTCTAGGTATGAAACCTGGGGTCTTGCATTGTTACAGAAGCCGTTTGCCACTGCTACACTCCCATCCCTAGGTTCTCCTCTTTAAAATAAAGAATATAGAAACTGAATGTGTCTTTCCTGACCTGAAAGTCTACATCCTAAAGTATTGAGAGAGCTTTGGTATCCAGGGAGAGAAATTCGTGTTTTCATCCTTAGGGTCAAAATAGCTGCACTGTGGGGATGTTTGATTGGGGACCATTGGAAGGAAGCATCCCCATCCCCACATGCTCATTACGCCAGGACCTAGAGATGTACATGACCCCAAATAGCTGGAGCATCTTAGGGACACTAATAAAAGGGCAAGAGGCTGCATAACCCCTGTGATTTTCCACAAGACACGAAGTTTCCTCTTAGAGTTGAAAGTTTTCCTTTCCAGACTTTGTTTAAAGATTTCAATGTTGCCCTACAATTAAATATTTCTCTTATTTATAATCCTCACAGGGAATTTAGGATTTAATTTATCATTTAAAAGCATTTGAGGGCTGAGAAGATGGCTCAGGATACAAAGGTGTCTGCTGCCAAGCCATGAGTGTCTGATAACTTGAGTCCCATGGCACTCAGATGGTGGAAGAGGGGATTCTTCTAACTTCTACACAAGAGCTGTGGCACACCACACACACACACACACACCACACATACCACACACACACCACACACACACACCACACACACACACCACACACACACACCACACACACACCACACATACACACCACACACACACCACACACACACACCACACACACACCACACACACACCACACACACACCACACACACACACCACACACACACCACACACACACTCACACACACACCACACACACACCACACACACACCACACACACACCACACACACACTCACACACACACTCACACACACACTCACACACACTCACACACCGCACACACACACCACACACACACCACTCACCACACACACCACACACACACACACACTTTTTATTATTATTATTATCATTATCATTATTCTTTTATTTAGGTTAGAAACAAGCTTGTTTCACATGTCAATCCCAGATCTCTCTCCTTCCCTTCCTCCCCCGCCCTCCCAACCAGGTCCCCCAGTCCCTGACCCAATCTCCACTCTGACCCCAGGGAGGGTGAGGCCCCCCCATGATCGATCTCCAGTGACTGTCATTTTATCCAGGGCCGGGCCTAGGCCCTCCCCCAAGAGTCCCAGCTGAGAGAGCCTCCCATATTGTGGCACTCAAAGTCTATTTGTACCCCAGGGATAAATACTACCCAAGGCCTCATAGATTACCTAGGCCTCCTCACTGATACCCACATTCAGGGGATCTGGATGCTTTCCACACAGCCATCAATCTGGAGTCCAAGAGCTCCGCCTTGTTCAGGTCAGCTGTTTCTGTGGGTTAAACCAGCCCAGTATGAACTCCTTTGCCCATCAGTTCTCCCTTTCTGACACTGGATTCCAGGAGTTCAGTTCAGTGTTTAACTGTGGGTGTCTGCCTCTGCTTTCATCAGTCGCTGGATGAAGGTTCTGTCTCCCAGACTCTCTGGCAATGGGATTGTAGGCTGGCACTCCCCAGATCTATGTCTAAAATCCATATATGAGAGAGTACAAACATGGTAATATGCTATTATTATTCCCCTTGATAGAGAAAATACACCACAATTTAAAATCAATACCTCGACATTACAACACCCTTAAATGAATTTGCAGTTTACTAAACACATCAGCACTAAATGGAGTAATAATAAAATTGTGCTGTGAAACTTACTAAGCTCCGATTTTAGCCAGAAAAGCCTCTGGGTTTGTTTTTCCAACAAGGAATATTACACTTGTTCAGCATTGAGAGTATCAGTTTTTAAAGAACCTCTTTTACATCCCTTTAAATACAAATTGAATCTGTTGAAGGTGGCCCTTTTTCTGACTCCAGTGCATAGTAACCAAGAATACAATACAATCTCAGCGATAGCTATCCATTGTTAAGGTTAACTCTACTCTTAACAAAGGGCTTCTTTGAGATTAATAACGTCTTGAAACAAAGGTGCATTGTTTTGCTTTTATCCAGTTACATTTTTAAGGTTAGCATGTGTTGAAGAATAGCACAGGCATCCCACAGAACAAGATGTTTTAGTCCAAGATTAAATGGAGCATTGCTTCCGTCTCCTCTGTGATTTGGTCAGATATTTGCGGCCCTTTTACTTGACACTGACATGTAGCTTGAAATGGGACTTCTGGCCTTCCCGTGTGTCTTTCCTGCTTCTCTTCCAATTTCATATCTCCCGGTGGATAATTCATAAAGTTCCATATTCAAGCAAGACAACTCTACTCCGATACTACTTGCTTTCTCGCTCTAGAATTTGTTGTTTGGCCTTTATAAAACAAAAGTGGAAATATTAACCTAGACCGTGACGATAATCATTTTGTGGGACTCTGATTTCATGGAAGTAGGAACTGTATATTATCACAAACTTTTTTTTTAATTTTAGTCCAAAATAAAAGAAGCCAAGTGCCTTAGTCTGTTGGAGAGGACTGAGGAACAAGGACACTGGGGGGTGGGGTCTGGAGTGGAGTGCTGATGTAAAGGCTGCCAACTATAGGGAAGCCAATAATTAGAATCAGAATAGTTGGTGATTTAAGGAGTTAAAGACAGTGCTGTGGACAGAGAACCCCAGGGCGTGGCCCGGAGTAGAGCTCAGAGAGCCGGTGACCTGTGGACAGAAATTTGCGTGATATTTCCTGCCTTTGAGTGAGAACCTCCTATCTGTTGTACATCCTGTCTAGGTTATATCAATGAGTTATTCTTCCCTTTTTGACAGTTAAAGACACAGTGGATGGCTAAAGAAGAAAGATTACCACACCACACTGAGCAGCTGGCCAAGTGTTCCGGTTCCAGTGTGTTGACGAGAGTGCTCCTAGTATAAAGACGCTTCCGAGAAACTGGCACGCACGGGAACTGAAAGGGTGTCCCTGAGGGCAACTGGAGCCAGTCCGTAGACCAGGTGGGGAAAGCTACTGAAATGGAGGAGATGCCCTCTTAGAAGAGAAAACAAAGAAACAAATGGAGCAGAGCTCAGAGGGGAGCTGCTGGAAAGGGGAAACATGCAAAAGCATTTGAGAAGGGAAAGAGAAAACCATTTCTCTGAAATGGTGGTGCAGGTAAACCTGGAGGTAGGAGCAAGAGAAGCAGAAAGATCTACACGTGGTTACTGTTTCAACAGTGATGCTAAATGATAGAGAGGAACAGTGGGCAAAAGGAAAGAAGGATAGGCTTACTAGAATTTTGAAGAGACTTTGTGCTTATAGAAAATGTAAGATGCCAACAAAGAGGACAACAAGACAATAAAATAAAAGCCTTTGAAATAATAGACAAGCCAGATGTGGTCACAATACCAGCACTTGGAAGGCAGAGTCAGGAGGCTCAGTTCAAGGTCATCTCCAACTATATATATGCATCTACACACTCAGTCTGAGGGGAGCATGAGACCCAGGAAGAAAGGGGAGGGGCAAGAAAGAAAAGAGGGAGGGACTCTGAAGGGGAGGGACCAAACCAAACAAAAACAGACAAATGCCAAAGAGAATTGAATGAGAGAAAAACGATGGTGGCCCAGTGAAGAAAGGTAGGACGTGTGTTCTGGAACAATTAGGAAAGATATGCACAGTCCTATCTTAGGCAGTAGGCTGACCGGGAGTCAGGCCACAGAGATGAATATATCCGGGTTTGGTCAGGTATGTTGGAAGAAAGACAGTTGATACAGGAAGCATGCAAGTGTGCTTCAGCAACAGGAGAACATTCGTTGGAATCTGTGTTTGCTCAAAAATTTCAAGGTCCCTCCCAAAGGAGGGGTTATACTATTTCTAGTCTGTTGGCATACCATTTGCTATTGCCAAGGCCATATGCACAGAAGTGACAGGTGTCATTATGAACAGCCCCATGGCTCATTGTCTTCTCCTTTTTCTTCTGCCAGTGTTTCAAGCAGGAGAAACTCCATTAAGCCAGGGCCCAGGATGACAATAATGTGGAAAGAGGTCACAGTTTGCCTCTCACCAAGCATGAAGCCTTTCCCACTCTAAGCACCTGAGATTTGGGAGTTTT